CGAAATGCAAAAGACATGGTCGTAGATCCTTGGCCCACAACACCCCACTAAATAAACTATGACCTGTCGTGAAATTATGTGAAATTGATCAACACAATCATCCACAAATTATCCTATGCCAAAGTACTGCAAATGCAAATAATGGCATCCCTTTACCTAGGTCATGTTTGTAGGGCCTTATGCCACATCTTTGCATGATTTCCTCATGCAAATCGTGTGCCTAGCTTCGAAAACACATTGCGCTAAGTGCCGAATACATACCTGTGAATCAGAACAACAGCACTCACTCTTGCTTTCATGAGTGGTAATGGTCAGCTGAAAGGAAACTTCTATCCATCAACTCATAAGTAAAGTAATGACTAATCTCCTTGCTGCGCATGTGGTTCCTTCGTATTTACATGTACCGTAAAGTACCGCCAGAGCGCCCCACCATCTCGTCCTTTCGGGGTCGTATTGTGGGGTGGTCTCCGGTCTGTAGGTTATACGACACGAACTTTGTACACATATTGCACGTTCTGCAGACAATCTGTGCCTTCGAGCGGACACGAGCTCCACACAAAAACCTGCTTAGTGTGACCTTAGTACACTAAGTTGCTCACACCGTACGAACTTCGTTGCACTCTGCCATACGATTTTCCTTTCCCTGGCTGTATTATATAAATCTGTCGCAGCAAAATCAAGGTGGGGCGCTCTCGCGGTACTTTACGGTATGTGCGCCTCTCTGTGTTCGGTGAATGATTTTGAATATTTGCGCACGACTTCAGGATAGTGCACATTGTATGCATGTACCTGCATATGTAATCCTTTCATGATTTAAAAATTAGGAGCCGTGCTTCTCATCACCGTGGACAAGTAAATGTCGGCCAGTTACGTAGCGTTTGGAGATTTGCACAAGTACAGTTGCGTGTCGATTATGCGGCAACCGCGGAATAAAATGAATATTCTGGACGACTGAAGCTACAAAGCCATCTTGTGTTAACTTAAAGGGGAAGTTAAGGCAAAAATTATAATTTCACCAGTTGTAGTCTTCGGGGTGCTGAGTCGAATGGTCTTGGTCCGAGGAAGCTGAGACGCTCCCTTCCTACTTGAATCCCAATCGAACTCGCGCACTTCCACCGAAACTGGGTGACTGCGCCCTACTAGATGGGGATTTGTATGCAAAATGTCACTAAAAGCGCCATTTCGTTCTTATAAAAGCACGGATGACCGCGATTGGCCCATATGTTGTAGTCTTTGGGACGCTGAGTCGACTGGTTTTGGTCCGAAAAGGCTGCGATGCAGCGTTCCTCCTTTATTCCCAATCGAACATGGTTGAACAAGCGGTCACGTGGTCCTGGGTGCCCAAATCACCTGGTCACCACGCCAGCAGGTGACAACTTTCACACCAAGGTTCAACTCGGGTTCAACTCGAGTGACAGGACTGCACCCAAAAAAGGTCAAACAGGCTAGTAAGTTGTACCCTGCAGGCACGGTGACCAGGTGACTGGTGTACGCAGGAGCACGTGACCGCTTCTTCAACCATGTTCGATTGGGAATAAAGGAGGAACGCCGCATCGCAGCCTTTTCAGACAAAAACCAGTCGACTCAGCGTCCAAAAGACTACAACACATGGGCCAATCGCGGTCATCCATGCTTTTATAAGACCGAAATGGCGCTTTTAGTGACATTTTGCATACAAATCCCCATCTAGTAGGGCGCAGTCACCCAGTTTCGGTGGAAGTGCGCGAGTTCGATTGGGATTCAAGTAGGAAGGGAGCGTCTCAGCTTCCTCGGACCACGACCATTCGACTCAGCACCCCGAAGACTACAACTGGTGAAATTTTAATTTTTGCCTTAACTTCCCCTTTAACAGATCAAAAAGACAGTACTTCGAAGTACCTGTATTTATCACTAGTATTACCCTGAGACAGTTGTGCTCATCTCTAGAGACTGGCTTGTATTTAACTCTACGTAATGGCAACTTTCATGATACTGACTGTCTACATTTACTTGAAGTAGGACTATAAATACTAAAGATAAGGTCTATAAGCTGTCAGTGCGGTGCTGTTGGATACCCGACATGCCATGTGACTGACCGCCAGATACTAGTAAACGACATGCGATTGTACCGGTCACAGTGTAGCTGGGTTTTCACGAAAATTTGAAACTTATACGATTGTGAGAAAAGTTCAGAAACCACACTTACACATACACACACACGCACGCGCACACACACACACACACACACACACACACACACACACACACACATGCGCGCACGCGCGCGTGTGCACACACACACACCTGTCCTGTTCTGTTGAGCCACTACCACAACTTAGCACAAGGATCGCACCGGCCCCAAAGGGGCAGTAGAGCGAAAGTGAGAGGTGTTGGCTTCGAGTTCACCTATCTCTACGATGAACGCAACCTCGATCGAAAGTCATGCCAAACGGATTTATCTACCACGCGCGCGCGCGTGCGCGTATACAAAACGGAGGAAGGATTACTTACTCTCCCTGTATGATGTTTCTGTTGTATTCGTGAACAATGTCATTGATGTTTTTCCATGCATGTTTTTGAATATGCGAGCATAACTTCCAACATCAAGCACATTCTTGCTTCTCATCAGCATATACAAGTTTATGTGGGGCAGTTATGTAGTGTTTGTTTTACCGGCTGCGTTTGTTGGTGCTTGCAGGTCATTGGCATGCTGTCTGTTTCACAGAAGCTCGTGTAACAGGTTCACCGTACAGCTATGAATGTAATGTAGCGTGTCGAAGCCACTTCGGTATGACGTGATGCCTAATTTCCTAGTTGTACCAAAATTGCGAGTATGCAAGTGATCGTCAAGCCTGTCCCCTGTACAGTAGCCGTCTTGCCTTGTTACGCCTGGTTCTGACTCTGCGTTCTCGTATACTCCATGCAATGTTACAAGGAATACTGCTCCCTTCTCAAGCAATTCATTGGCAACAAAACGCTCGGCTATGCCCTGTAACTTTGCTGTGCGGTTTGTGCTTTGTCAATGTTGTGTACCAGTTCATGATCTGTGCTTGCTGTTCTGTTTGTTTTCTCTCGCACAATTGAGGCACTGTAGCACTCCGCTGTAGCACAGTGTACAGTGTCGATCATCCTGCCCAGGCTCTGATTTCACGTACCACAGTACGGTTTCTCTTGTTGCTCACTGTAATGTGCATGATACAAGCTCCTTGGTACTCCATCATCACCTGGTGCTGTTGCTGCCATTGTTGGACCCTGCTGATATCCTTCTCGCAATGCCCGAACGTTGTTCCAACAAATGCACAACTCGCTCTTAGTTGTCACATTCGGTTTGGTCTCGTTCCAGTCTTTCGAATTGAGTGAGTGCGTAAACTTGTATGAAGTGGTGAAGCAAAAGCCGTGCGCCGGCAAACATTCAATGTCCGGGTGTAATGACGCACCAAGGTCCCGGGACTTGCGTCCAATTCCTGAGTGATTTTTGTGTGCCTAGCCTCTAGGTATCATACCATATTTGTTTGGTTCAACCGTTTTGGATGCCCACTGCAATACCATTCACTGTGTTATGTGTGTATGTTATCCAAGAAATCTCCCATATTTTTGGGTGGACAAACCTCGCCATAAGTCAGTAACCTGGCATTTTGCACTAACAGAACTCCTAGGATATCAGCGCCGTCTCAGTACCTGGGGACAGTTGTAAAGAAAAAGAAAAAATATCCTTGGCCCACAATGCCCCACTAAATAATCCGAAGGGTGTCGCGAAGACTACAATTTCCTTACCTTTCTTTCGTGGACGAAAAAAGACACTTCGCTTCGTCCGTTGCGCATGAAACGAAACATGAGGGTAGTGTTTATCAATTAGAATAGGTATCATGCACGAAGGAATGGCGAAAAGGTACTATGCTCGAGCGCTGGTCGTCGTCTTGTTTGTCAATTTTGAGTCCCATTGAGAATTTTCTTCTCCAGACCTCTCAAATTTCCCGCGGTTGCAAATAAAAGTGCAACTTCTAGACGACTTTTTTGAATTTGGCGCACGGACTGGATATAGATAGTTTTAATAGCAAGGTATGTAGAGTATTTGTGTAGTAATCGGCGCCGCAAGACATCGCAAGACATCGGCGCGGTCCGTTGCGCATACGGTTCGAGTACCAAATCTACTACAAATTAGTACGGAATGTGCCCAAATCATGGCAAATGCTACGACAGGTTTGCCAATGGAAACTTGAATTCTTTGTTTCGTCAGTAGTTCAAGGTCTTTCGGTGATGGCCACTCGGTGCTACCTTTTACTGGAGATCATGAAACTACTTCTACACATTTTATTGCAGTCTAGTAAGCGATTGTGTCGAAATTATGCTTGCAAACGTTGATGAAGTCACAAGAACTTGCCAATGTATCCCTCATATTTTTTTATTCGTTTCAATTGTATTTAATTTGTCTCATAAGTTGCACAATATGCCGGCTGCCGGGAGCCAGACTTTGTCAAAATATCAAACCAATACTTGTCCTATATTTTCCTAAATTGAAGCATTGTGCAACTTATGAGACAAATACAATTGAAACAAATAAAAAAATACGTAATTAAGTTAGTTAAAGAGGCTAGCCAGTACGGCAGTAGTTATAACGTCGCGGACTCACGGCACAGCGCTGCACTTGCAGTGAAGGCGTACAACGGGGACAAGACGAGCAAGTGTGTACACAACGAGGACGGAAAAAAAGACACGTCGACGCGACGGTGCAGCCGCATGTACGCAGGATTCAAAAACAGCGCGCGCAGCTCAGCAGCATGTACAACAAAGAGACAACAAAGAGACACGATTACAAAAGCAGCATGCAGCATGTACGACAAAGAGCTACACGTGCAACCGGATTGTACAACAAAGAGACACAAACATGTGCATGCATCATGTTGTTGAAGTGCAGTGCCATATTTAAATCAACACGTTTGCCATCGCATAATCATGACGTGCGGGATCCGAAATTTGTGCACGTTGCGACTTTGTGGGTGGATATTGATGGTCATACCGGTATTGCCAAAGAAATGCAGGCTACAAATACTACTGTTTCCTCTCGTTGTGGCCAAGTGGGTAGGCTGTGTAGACTTTAGAGTTGGCTAATGTTTTGCTGCGAAGGTGATAAACCGCAGAACTCGCAAAGAAGTCTCTCTCAAATCCAACTCGCTGTTCAGTCAACAAAGTTGAAACTACTTGTAGTGGAGTCGAAAGCCCTTCTATGTTCTCCAGTTTATCCGGCTCTCGCTAGTTCGTGCAGCTGTAAATAGTTCTTTGCAGAATGCTGTGCTACAGGCCACTGCTCGTTGCTTTAGCCTCACTCGCCCTATTCCACGTGTCCGTATGTATAGCATCCAACACATCCAGGACACCGCGCGGTCAGTATTGTAAGTACACGTTCATGTTTCAAGTACTAGTGAGGGTATATCCCCCAGAGTGTGCAACTCTGTGTGGGTTTGCTAGTATTATGGGGTCTGCCCCAGAGACTCGCATCGCGAGGTGTACTTCACGTTGTACGTTCCCAGCCTACTACTTTGTGCTAATGAACATTGGAGTAGTGAAAATAGGACTTTCTGAAAGAAAATCCACTCAGCTTATGCGAGTCTTCAACATATTGGAGATACTATGTAGGGAGGTTCTGCAAAACGAAAATGCGTACAAACTTTCGCTCTACGTCATGAAGTGAGAAACTTTGCACGAACTTTCGCAACTAATTACTTTGGACGCGAAACTTGCAGGGAACGCGAAATGAACTTTCGTGGAAAATTTCGTGAGATCGGGTCATGGCGTACGTGCAACCTACGAAAATGTGCAGAACACAAAGTTTGCGCGAAAATTCGTACACGTTTTCGCAAGGCCTGTCGCGAAACTTCGTTCGAATTTTCGTTTTGCAGAACCTCTCTAGTCTGCTCTACGCTATGGTACTGTGATGCAAAGAATCCCTTGATCTCTCCTCGCCCTCCCGTAACATATGAGAAACCTAGTACCTGTTCTGCTCTACGTTCACACAAAGAGATCACGTGTCATGTGCACAGGAAACCCCCACCTTCCCGTTCCAAATTTGGTAGTATTCTCCCTAATTTGAAGGATACGCGGCATATCCGTACGCATTTTCGCAACCTACGAAAATGTGCAGAACACAAAGTTTGCGCGAAAATTCGTACACGTTTTCGCAAGGCCTGTCGCGAAACTTCGTTCGAATTTTCGTTTTGCAGAACCTCTCTAGTCTGCTCTACACTATGGTACTGTGATGCAAAGAATCCCTTGATCTCTCCTCGCCCTCCCGTAACATATGAGAAACCTAGTACCTGTTCTGCTCTACGTTCACACAAAGAGATCACGTGTCATGTGCACAGGAACCCCCCCCCTTCCCGTTCCAAATTTGGTAGTATTCTCCCTAATTTGAAGGATACGCGGCATATCCGTACGCATTTTCTTTTTGTGTGGCCCAACGTAGAGAACCTCATCTCTGCTTAGAAATCTGCACCCAAAACACGTGAAGCCGTAGATCCTAACCAGACAGTCATGTTCTCTACGTAATTTCTCTATGTTTCACGTTGAGCAGAGCCTCACTGATCCTGGATTATCACATGGTTCAGTACAGAATCACTGATCCAGCCAATCAGCAGTCGTGCTGAGCGGCATGATACCGTATTTGCCGGAGTAAAACGCGCACCTGAGTATAATGCCCCCCCCCCCCTCTTGTTTTTGAGCAACGTTTTGGCAATTCAAGGTACTCTACTTTCAGAAATTTTAGGTGCTCAATATTTTCGGTATGAGGGCAAAAGGCCAGGTTAGGTGAACAGAAATTTTAGGTACAGAGAAGAAGTTCCCTATTGGATGTGTGTAAATGTTTGTTCTGTGTACAGGTCGTCCCTCGTTAATACATAATCTCTGGGACTTGACAAATGTTATGTATTAACGGGGTTTATGTACTAAACGAAAGTGTACATAACTTGCTTGTATACCAGAATTTTTCACTTTTTTCAACTTTTCTGAGTGTTTCTTGCTGCCATGACTAGGGAGCGAGATATTCTTGATTCCCTCGATATAACATAAAAATTATGTTATAACGGTCACAGTCAGCGAAGATTCTACAGTTTACATGATACATGCCCGGCCCAGCCACGCCTGTACAGTCACTCGAAAAAAACAGAGCTTTGTCGGTTTGTGATGTGCGCTCTGATTTCTGAGCTAATTGCGTCGTCCACAAGTAGAAACTAGAACACGACGTGCCTCCTCTGGAAGGCCAAAAGACCATCAAATTATGTACTATTGAGGTAGGTGGCATGCGGGTACGGAGAAATGTTATGTACTAACGGGGCCGGGGTTTATGTACTAACGAATTATGTAGTAACCGACAAAATTTGTATGGCAGTGACCACATTTCGTCCGGGACTTGAGATTTCTTATGTACTAACGGGGTTTATGTACTAACCGGACTCGTACTAACGGGGGACGACCTGTATTGATATTTTAGGTATGAAACAGACGCACCGAAAGTACCGAAAATAAAAGTACACCGAAAATTTGTGAAATTACAGTATACCCCGAGTATTATGGGCAGCCTAGATTTGAGAGCATTACCGATCACATAGACAGTACTATAGTGCGACCATTGTACCTTTGTAAAATGCACGTTCTACCGGTGGGGTCTCGTACACATCATGCATCAGAAGTGTAGCTGACAGCAGACACTAGAAATACACACATCATTTTGGCTTGCACCGGATAGAGGTGGCAAACTTCGCAACTGTTTGATGCATTGCACTACTTGGAATTGCATTTCAAAATGCACATCACATATTACTGCGCATGCGCGCGCGCGCGCGCGTGTGTGTGTGTGTGTGTGTATGTATGCGCGCACACTGTTGGGTTTTGTGCAGATCACTTGCCGGAAGTAGAGGGCTATGACGGTTGGTACAACAATCCATCCCATCCTGAATGGGGGAGTGCAGGTAGGCAAGCTGTTCACAACTGCTCATACTACTCATACTGGATTCACTCATACACAACATGAATAATAATAAAAGTAAATTATCGTGGCCGTTCCCGAAGGGAACTCACGACTGCCGCTAACACCCGGTAAACCGGTTGTGAGAATAGAAAGATCACCTTTGACCATTACAATGGAAGAATGTGGAGCTCGAAGTGCCGCGGTGAAGCGAATGGCAAAATTAAGGCGAAAGCGGTCGGTGCATCGGCAGGTTGGTGCAGCATGGTGCAATGCTACCGTACAGTGCATGCAAAGAGCAGATTTCGTAAACTAATTACGCTTTAAAAGGCAAGATGGCAGTTTTAGAGCCGTGTCGCTAAAATATTCGGATTCAGGCACAAAAGCGCATGCGTTAGTGGCAGACTAGATGCGTGCAAGTCAGTTCAATATTGGAGTGTCTGTCCCTCCAGGAATCCGTGATTCCGCGGCCGCGGTAAAATCCGCGGAATTCCACGGAATTCATGTTTTTTTAATATCCCGCGGAATTCACAGTTTTCACCGCAGAATCGTGAAAAATCACGGTTTGGGGGCGATGCGAGCACGCGCTTCATATTCATGCACATGCATAGTGCAGTGTCCTGTCGCTATTTTGTTGCATTCAAAGTCGAGGGAGTTTTCTTCGTTACTGTATTGAGCCTATAGTGTGTTTTCGACCACTAAATTTTTTATTGATACTTGTACTTGTACATAGCGTATAGCCATGTCTTTTCGCCGGTGCAGCGCCGCAGAAATACCGCAGTATTGCCGCAGAATTCACGCTATCCGCCGCATAATGTAGCAATTTGTGCCGCAGAATTCTGCGCAGAATTTCAACTTTCTGTCCGCGGATTCCTGGAGGGACAGGAATGTGTTGTGGTGCGGGATGCGGAATAGTCCTGAGAGGAAGGTCCACAACCCGCTAGCTGTGAAGTAGAACTGGGTAGATAACACGCGGCTCTGGTAAACGTAGCCCAGGGCAAACACCAAACACAAGTAGAACAGAAAATGCACAAAAAAACATGCGATGCCCTCTGCGATGCCCTCTGCTATACTCGACACTGAGGAAACTACTGAGCTGGAAGTGTACTGAGAGCAGAGTGGCCAAGGATAAGGGAAAGAAGTTAGGGAAGGGATTATTTCTCTCACTTACGATGGGCCGGTGGGACAATTATAAGTAGTAATTTACACACGGCACAGAGCACCACACGGCACAGAGCACCACACGGCACAGAGCACCAAGCATCGTTCGTTGTAACTAATAGTTTCATGCCCATAGGCAATCATCAGACAACTGAACAACTAAACGATGCTTGGTGCTCTGTGCCATGTGTAAGTTAGTTCTATTCGAACTGTTCGGAACAAATATTGAGCACTCTACCGAGCCGGAGGACTCTCATTTGTAAGTAGTAATTTATAACCCCAACCGGAGAGGGCAAGGGGGCATGCTGAAAAATGGTATTTGGACGGCTCAATAATGGGAAGTTTGGAAGTTGTGCAAATAATTCCAAGTCTGAATGAACAAAAAAAGTTTTAAAAAAACACAGTGGATACTTGGTCAGCTGTGGCATGAAATGTTTATAGAGATGGAAAGGGTAGGGAGGAGGGATCTACTTTATGGCGAAAAGACGGGGGAAAGAGTGTCAAGGTCTGTGCAACAGTTGTCTGACTCGCCACCTGCGGTCACAAGGGCAGCAAAAGTAGAATCTTTCGTAAAAAGAAAAAGAAAAAAGTAAGTGAAAAGGCGACGAGGAGACAATAACTTTATTAATGCGATTAATAGTATAAGTGAAGCGGACATTACAAAATGATGAATGAGAATACATGTATCTAAAATGGTTGTTCCTAATCGATTTTCTTGAGACTATCATCAGGGAAAATCGTCTCACAATAGAGGCTATACGGAGAAACAAACTACTTATAGGTTAATGGATAGTGGGAAGTATACAAGGTGAGGTGTGAAAAAAAACTAAAGTGGGAGAGAAGACGAAAGAAATTAGAAGAAAAGATGTGAGAGTGTTCTGACGGTGTGAGCTACTACAAAAGGTGAGTGAAATGAAGGCGTAGAAGCAGGTGAATGTGATAGAGTGAGGAACTGTGAGGTGTAGGTGTATGCGAATGAATACGTGTGTGAATGCTAGGTGAAGAGTCTCAGTTTTGTGACATTTTCTTTCTGAATGCATAGATTAGGATTGTGTTTACGGATGAAAACAGCTTCTAATACCTTAAGTTCACGAAACCTACGAGCACGACACAAAACAGTGAAGCATGAATCGTCATACACTGAGCGGCATTAGCTACTAGACAAGAGGTGTTTCTTAATGGCTGACCCTTTCGTTGTGGTCTCACCTTCAGTCCGGTCATCTTCATCTTGGTTGTCCAACTCACTCTCTTCATCACTGCTCTCACCTTCCTCATCCTCCTCCGCTTCCATCCCGTCCTCTGCACCCAACGACAATCCCACGCTACTGCTCGCTGCCAGTCCATGTCCGGTTGTAGATGCTATTACCAGCGCACGAGTCATGCTCCTAGTTACTGGTCTCCGTACCTGTGTTTGGCCATTTCCTTCAGTCTCACGTACCTGTGTACTTGTAGTCCGTTCAACCGGTACTGTGTGGTTCTGTTGTAATTGTGCAACTGGCACCTGTTTGCGGGGACGGCCTCGTCCAGGTCGCTGGGCTTTGGCTCCATCTGACAATAGGTACAATGGTACATGTTTTTTTTCACACCTCACCTTGTATACTTCCCACTATCCATTAACCTATAAGTAGTTTGTTTCTCCGTATAGCCTCTATTGTGAGACGATTTTCCCTGATGATAGTCTCAAGAAAATCGATTAGGAACAACCATTTTAGATACATGTATTCTCATTCATCATTTTGTAATGTCCGCTTCACTTATACTATTAATCGCATTAAAAAAGTAAGTATCGTGTCCGTTTCCGAGGGAACACATGACGGCCGCGAACACCCGCTAACACAACCGGTAACGGCCGGGTAACACAACCGGTAACGGCCGGGTAACGCAACCGGTAACGGCCGGGTAACACAACCGGTAACACCCGCCCGGAAAATGCAGCGGCAGGTGCAGTGCCTAACGGTGTCTTCAGTACTTTTCACCAAGGTGAGCCAATTTCACGCACTGTACTAACTTATAATTATTACAGGTTGAATTCCGCTTTCCAGTACATCAACAGTTGTGTGTGTGTGTGTGTGTGTGTGTGTGTGTGTGTGTGTACGTGAAGATTCAACCGGTACTGCACAAAAGAGTTGGCTTACTTTGGGTAAAAGTACGAGAGATGCTCTCCCAAAGTGGCCAAAATCACCAACGTCCTAGTTCATAGCTCACCTTTCCTGAGTACTGGGCCACCTTCTCTTGTTTTGTGCCATATGTCTTCTACAGACTCACCACTTTCCCGCCGTATTTGGCCGGCTTATTCCGATGGCACGTATCAACCCAATGGTCAAGGCCGTCCCAACCCTCATGATGTTGCAACAGCATGCTTGCAAGGACCAAAGGGATTGAAGTCTTACCGAAACCGAACAGCTCTTCTCACTTTCTATGGTCAGTATGGCGTTTGTTGTCATGGTGTTCGTTGTCATGGTGTTCGTTGTCATGGCGTTTGTTGGCCTGTATGTATAGGCGGGAATGGGTGCACACGTTTTTAATGACTTGCTTATATCTTGATGTATACATGCATGTAAGGAATCATTGAAATGGATTCACTTGTGTGACCAGCAATTCAATTCTACAGACTTCTTCCTTTGAGTATTTGAATATTAATTTTGATTGTTTGTAAATGGTTGCTTAAACTTGCTTTGTTGCTCCCCTAGTACTGACTGTTGACTGTACATGTGTGATGGTGTGGCCAAAGAAATCAGACCTGTGAGGCGAAAGCAGCATCAAGGCTCATGCTGTCCCTGCGGACCTCGGATGTGTTTTTGAACCGTGCTCGATGTACTTGTGATTGAAATGGAAACCCGTCGCTACTTTAGACTAGCGGGTTGGGTTTCTCTGGCCTCGACTGTAGAGGTAGAGGTAGAGTGCAGCAAGGTATAGCAACAGGACAGAAGCACATATACGTATAGTAGTGTAAATAAAGTTACAGGAGTGCCTGACCCCAAGAGTGTGTAACTCTGATCTCCGAGCTACGGTTGCTCTGCGCGGTGCACTGCCTTCATTACCTACTGAAAAGACGATCGAGTTGCCTGGATTTGAATGTTCCTACCGTTTAGCCGCAACAATTTCATGCGCAATGCGGTACGTTCAATGACAATACCTGTACGCGATGCATCACGTACAAAACCACAGTTCATGGCTACGAATAAAATGCAGGCAGCACACGGCGCCAGACCCCATTATGCAGAGTTGCATACTCTCGCGGCTATGCACTCTTGCCTGTAGAGGAAGATGCTCTGACATGCTCTTCCTGATGATGTCATGCTACATGTACTTCGAGAAGTATTTAGTTCCTTGTGATGTCATACGACATGTATTGTGTTCCTGTGCCATGTGTGTAGGCCAGCAAATTGTTGAGGAAATTCTAGATGCACAGCGAGCAGGCTGCCCACCAGAGTACCACAACATCCCTATTCCCAAGTGCCATGCCCTCTTCGATCCTGAATGCAAAGGCAACAAGGAGGTGCCTTTCTTACGTTCTCGCTATGACAAATCCACTGGACAGTCGCCTAATAATCCAAGAAAGCAGGTAAGTTGTTGCAATCCCGCTCTGATGGCTCGAGCACTCAAGAGTGTTGTAGACCGGGGTGTACTCTTGTCTATACTGTACATGTTCGGTTAACGTAGGAGTTAACCGTTGTTAACAGTCACGTACCATTGCTTCGCTGTTGGCCTTTATAACGGGTTGCATAACCCTCCTTACGTGTGTGCACAATCTTGCTCTCTCTACATATTGCTGTGTATCATAGACCACATGCCCACGCTCTGCGCATGCGCAGATTTCCTGTGCGCACAACAGAGCTTGCTGTCTTTCCAGTTTCCTTGCCTGCAGTCAGCTTTCAAATTCTGAACTCGAAAATTCTGATTTCTGATTTCAGTTTGCCTCCGTCCTGCTTCAGAGTGTCAGTCCTAGTTCTGCCGATTGGCTGCCGTCTTTAGTATTCGCTTTCCTGGTTCTCTCTCAGCTCAGTCCCATCAGACTACGTGTCTTCAGCGGCCAGAGATTATTTGAGTATTATATTCTCACGATGGCTCGTTTCTCGACCAGACAAAAGACGCCATCGGCCAGAGTGGCAGCTCAACCTTCGGATACAGGACGTAATGTGCGTGTGCGGCGAAATCCTGTTGTCTTCAATCGCCCAGAACTCCAATACCTCCCCACTCGGATTCTGTTGTCTCCGACGTTGCGCCGTCAGTTTCGTCAGTTTCTTCTGCCGCCGCCTTGAATGTGGCCCCTGATCCCGGGGCGGCAACTCAAACTTCGGCTGCAGGCAGTAATGCGCGTGCGAGGCCAACTCCTGTTCGTCGTCAACCACCCGGGACTCCATTATCTTCCTCCGCGGCCTCTGTTGTCTCCGACGTTGCGCCGTCAGTTTCTTCTGCCGCCGCCTTGAGTGTGGCCCCTGATGTACTTGCTTCGGCTGTTTCTCAGGCCGTCGGCCATGTCCTCCAGCCCCTGATGGAGCGAGTAGAGCAGTTGGAATCTGCTGCAGCCGTCGTGCCGCCTGTCAACTCCAGCTCCGTTCATGCATTGGGCCATCCGCCGGCTGCTCGTCCGTCGCTCTCTGTACCTGATAAACTCCGCGGGCGAATTGAACGCGGCGAGTTTATTGATTTCGACGACCTCCTCCCGGACCAGCTGGGTGTGGAGCCCGATGTGGTCCAGCTAGCTGTGGGGGCTAACCGCTCTGTCCAACTTGTACAGAAGCCAACTCAGGCCCAGCGCCGCCATGTCCACGATGTAGCGTCATGGCTCGAGGCGTTTACTGTCTACACGAGAGTAATTGTCGCGGCGGCTCCAGATAGGGCAAATGATTTGCTGGCATATAAGGCCACTATTCTGGATGCAAATAACTCGTATCATGTGGACGCATGGCTAAGTTATGACAGGCGTTTCCGGCGCGCCATAGCCTCCCAACCACTGTCGTACGACTGGGCTATCATCGACTCTAATTTGTGGCAGTCGTCATTCACCAGCCGTGGTTGCCCGCCATGTTCGCGCTGTTCTCTGGTGCACCCATTGGCCCAGGCCCGGTGTCCCTTTAGACCAGGGCCTCCATCCGACGGCGCTGGGAGTGGAGGTCCGCCGCAGTCCAGCGCGCCAACCCATCTTGGGAAGCCTATCTGCCGCAACTTCAACAGGGACCAGTGCAACAACTCATTCTGCTATCGTGCCCACGTGTGCCTTCAATGCCGCGGGAAGCACCCAGAAGTCAAATGTGGCAGGGGACAGTCCGCCACCTCAGCATCTGCTCCGTAAACATTCTGTGGAGACCCCCATCAATGTTCGCCGATTAGCCGGGCTCCTTAACCGTCATTCTGATCACTCCTTCTCTCACTTTGTGTTGCATGGGTTGTGTCACGGTTTCACGATAGGCCATTCTGCTGCTATATCTGGTTGCGTTCGCAAACGCGAACTCGCCTCACTCCTGGGCCACCTCTCGTTCGCTTCCAGAGCAATTCCGGCCGCCCGTACATTCTTACGCCGCCTGTATGACCTCGACAAGGCCACATCTGAGATGTCATCTCACCGAATGCTGCACCTCTCAGCCTCAGCCAAGGGCGACCTGAGCTGGTGGCACCAGACTCTGTCAACATGGAACGGAAAGTCATTTTTCCTGCTAGAGAAGTGGATGCCCAGCGCTGACCTCCAGTCGCAACCGACGCAAGTGGCACCATTGGATTTGGAGCCTTCTTCAATGGTCGCTGGTTTAGAGGTGACTGGTCCCCGCAGCAACTGGAACTAAGCATTACCTACAAGGAGCTCTTCGCCATTGTCGTGGCCTGCGCCACATGAGGGATCGAGTGGCTGCGTGTGGAGTTTCAGTACGACAACCAAGCTGTCGTGGAGTGCCTGAAGACGGGCACGAGCCGGTCTCCTGCAGTCATGGCACTCATCCGCACCCTGTACTCAATCTGTGTGAAGCACAATTTCCTGATCCGAGCATCGCACCTGCCAGGAATTTCCAATACCATCGCTGATGCCCTGTCCCGGAACAAGATGGATGCCTTCAGGACCTTTGCTCCTACAGCTGCGGAGCGGCCTGACACCATGGTCCAGCCGATCACTGAGTAAGTGAAAAGACATTCACTTAGGATGCAGATAGCGTTCACTGTCGATCCTACTCCACAATATCAGTCTGACTTTATGCCTCTAGTACAACGCTCTTGTGCAATACATACTTACCATCTATATTGGCTGTTATCACCCGCTATCTCCTCTGGCCCTAATGGGAATGTCGGCATGGGCACTCCTCCGTAACTGGCCTCTCGCGCACTACTATTAAACTCGCATGGGTCATAAACCGCTCCTGCTCAACGCAGGCCGACCCACCAACTCGCATGGGTCACAAACCGCTCCTGCTCAGCGCAGGCCGACCCACTTGGTCATATACAGCTCCTGCCCTCGGTAGGCCGACCACACGATTCGTTAACGCGCACTCAATTGAGGCCAGCTACTCTGCCCGACATTCCCATTCTTCCAAACTCACTCTTGTGTCTTTTGGTGTGTCGCGTCCTGCACGCGTGTGTGTCTACTCTATACTCTAGCATGGGGAGTAGAATGTTAATGAGAGGTTTTGCCAGTTTCACCGACAACATAGTGAATTTACAATTTCTAGAATCAGTCTCGAAGATTCATTGTAAGGAAAAAATATCTCTCTCTTGTCTCGATGGAGAAAACTCAAAGAACCAAAAGGCAGTGAAGCAAGCCGCCAGCAAATCAAGCTACCGTACGCTTTCCAACGGCGAAAAGAGATAGTGCGGGAAAACACGAAGGTACAAGGAGAAGACTGTAAGTTCAGGTAAATGCGAGAGAGGAGTTGGTGATAATCAAGAATGGAGAAAGGAAGATCAAAAGAGAGAGAGAGAGAGATAGAGTGAGAGAGAGAGAGAGAGAGAGAGAGAGAGAGAGAGAGAGAGAGAGAGAGAGAGAGAGAGCTAGAGAACGAGGCTGTCTGGTGATCGTATGCAGTATCTCACACTCCCCCCAGTTGAGGCGATCAGAACCATGCATGCCTCAACTCATACGTGATATTGCAATCAGTGTAAGGTCACCCAGACAAACAAAGGAAAGAAAGAAACAAGGAAACTCAAATTAGACTACTGCGGTGCACAAATAACTTAAAGGAGACTTGTGCATGATCCAGTAACAAGTTTAACCTAACTCATGATGGTGTCCAGCTCCACCTACACACGGCCAGCATCAAATAGGCGGTGTCGCAACTCTTGCGCACGCCGAGCTGCTGCACGGATCGGGCGAGCGGGGCCGCCGAGGACGACTCCACACCAGCAACAGCTGGAGTAGCGGCAGACAACTGCTCTGCGCCGACATCATCAGCAGCAGTCTGGGCCCGGGAGCTAACCTCGACCGGGTAGAGACGCTGAATCGGGCGACGTAAGCGTGACGGACGACCATCATTGGTTGAGCACTTGACAGTAGCGCCGCGCACACTGCCATCACTGCTCGGCAGGAGCTCCTCAACTAGGCCGAGTCTCCACATACCTCGCTGAACGCCTTGCTCGTGGATGACAACGACGTTACCAACCCGGATGTCACTGCCACGACGAGCGTTCCCGGTGCGATGCGAGTTCCTCAGCTCCAGCAGGTACTCCGATGTCCAGCGCGACCAGAAGTGGTCAATCAGAGACTTGACGTAGACGAGGCGTTTCAATAGTGAGTCACGCTGTACTGTAGCCACCTCTGTATCTTCCGGGTCCACCATGGGCGTGGACAGTATGCGCCGACCGTACATCAGATGTGACGGCGTAAGCGGCTCATCCAGATCTTCGGTTGACACAAACGATAATGGGCGACTGTTCAAGACCGCCTCTATCTCGATGAGCACGGTCAAAAGCTCCTCGTAAGTGACTGTGGCTTGCTGCAGTATCTTCTTGAGGCAGCGCTTGGCGGACTTGACCAGCCGCTCGAAAAAGCCACCCCACCAGGGGGGCTTCTCGAGGTTGAATGACCATTTCACAGACCTGCTGTCGAGCTGAGAATCGATGGAAACAGCGCAGAAACGTCTCAGCGGAGAGATCTGGCACGAGATCCAGATGAATCGCTCGGGTAACGCCACAGGTGAACAGCGCGACGCACACCTTCTTCACAGCACTCTGCTCTTTGATGTACAGCGGACCCGCGAAATCGACGCCAGTGTAGGTGAATGGCGCGTCGATTGTCGTCCGGAATTCTGGCAGTGGCGGAGCTGCTGGAGGCACGTACGCCACGCTCTCGAGACGCTTGCAGACACGGCACGCTAGCAACAGGCTCCGGATGTACTGGCGACCACGGACGACCCAGTAGGCAGACCTCAGCTCAGTGAGTATCTCTTTCACACCATTGTGAGCGACTCGGCGGTGGCAGCGAATGACGATCAGGTCAGTGTACCGATGTGTGGTGTGCAGGATAGCGGGATGCTTCTGCTCGAACGTGAGTGCCGCTTTCTGCAGCCGACCTTTGCAGCGCAAGATGCCAGAGTCGTCGCAAAAGATTCCGAACTCTTTCTGCCAACTTGAGAACTTGGGGTC